GCTAGATTGGCTCTCTACTGTACAGTCAGTCGGAGAGAGGGACTGCCAGTCGGAGAGAGGGAATCGCTTTCATTCCTGCTAATGAAAGTGCAGCCTGTGAGGCGGACTCTCATCTGGGTGCTTTTCCCAGCTGAGCCATTTAGCAACCCACCCTCATAGTGGGAGCCTTCCGCACTCAGCTGAATGAAACTGAAAACCTACGATTGCACTTCAGTGGGGTCCATGAATAGCTGCTTTGTCTGTAGAGAGTTGTTGTCGCACATGGTCTCTGTCTCCCAGTGCCATGCGCTTGCAAAGGCGAGAGCAGGATCGGCAGGGTCTTATTTTAAAGCCAGAAAACAGGCTGGGGAGCCTTGCTCCACAAAACGTGCACGCTGATTGCTGAATTTGGTGTGTTTGACCACGGATTCATAAAGAAGACATTATTGGCTATTTGCTCTTCGATCTGATATGCTCTTATTTTTGTATTAAAAAAAAAAAGCAACAAAACAGAATGATAAAGAAAATCTTTCACTCACTGTAGCTACCACATGACAAGACAACCTATTGAAAAGCTACCCAATTCAATCACGCATTGTTTGGTCTATAAGGCACCAAGGAACCAGTTTGACAGTTTGTGTCCCCCCCAGTGAATTGGCTTATTTCATCGGATTCAGTGAATCGGGTGGTTGTTGTGGCTTTATGTGGACACAGCTCTCATTTTGTGAGGCCTAGAACGGAGTTAAAGTTTCTAGTGTGAATAAAAACCAGCTGGGGAGTTGGACCGCTCTCTCCCCTGGGCGGGATGTTGGTTTTGACAGACGGACTGAATGCGGTGACATACGAGCTTAGGAAAGACCCTCTCTCTGTGCTTCAGAAAAAGCTAAGTCGCTCAGTGATGGAGTGGGCACACCACCTCGACTTGGGTTTTCTGGTTCCTCAGATTTTGTTACCTGCTAAACAGAGCGCTCTGACTACCGAGCACAAGCGCCTCTCTCTCAGGAAGGAAACATGGAATCCAGGGCACGGCGTCCAGTGAGCACCTGCTTAGTGCCTGGCACGTGCTAGGAGCCATAGACGTGGTAGTTATGGCCATCCAGTTGAGTCCGAGGATAGGGTTTTCCGTTTCTGGTTTTTATTTTGCCGGAGTGCACGTGTGTTTGCACAAAGGGGGAAGTGCAAAAGCACCCCACAGAAGAGGGCCATGCCATGCCGCAGTTACTTCTTTGTCTCTCCTTCCTTTTGCCAAGCATGTTTTTTTTTCCTTTGTTTTTAGAGAGAGATTTTTGCTATAGGGCATGTGCACTCACTGAAGAGACAGAAAGCGAGAAATCCCCCCCTCCCGGGAGAAGGCCACCCCACATCCCTTCTCCTCCATCCTCCTCTCGGGATTTTGGGCATGCACACACATGTGCCTGGTGTGGAGTTTTAAGCTGCCAGGTCCAGGACTCGAACTGCAGTCAACTACATGGGAGTCCGGTGATGGAATCATTACGCCTTCTGCTGGTTCTTCGAGCATGTTTTTTAAGCCACTATTCTGAGACTCAGACTTGGCACTTGGCCATGCCAGATCCAGTGCCTTAACCACCCCCCGACGAACTCGTTTCGGATGATAGGTCGTAAATACGGTTGTGTGCACGTGTTTGAGTATCTCTGGGGGGGGCGGTGGGGGACATGGCACCATAAGGAACTGTGTAATAAACTGGCTTAACCTAAACTGCGACACCCAGGAAGACTCCCCGAAGAAACGATGTGTAGGGCTGGGAAGTTTGAAGGGTGAGGCAGGAAATCAGTGAGGACCGGGGCTGAGGGCTACAGATGCCGTGTGAAAGGTTTTATACTTTTGTGCGCTTACTGAATACCTACTGTGTGCCAGGTATAACACTGGGCATTTCACATCCGCTCTTCATCTCTTCCTGCTAGCGGTCTTAATGAGATTTTTTTCCCCATTTTGTTTTGGAAACGAGGTAAGCTGAGGCTTTAGAGAAATTAAACCCCTTTCCCAAATTTAATGTTACAACTAAGTGGATGAAGTGATACCTGAACCCCTAGTCTTCCGGCATCCACTTCCAGTGAGTTTTTAGAGTCCAGTCTGCAAGAAAGATGGTAATGTTCAGTAGTCAAGCACACACTTTTTGGATCGCTCAATCAATTCAATTGATTTGTTCATTCAAACAAAGGACTTTAGTTATCTTTAAAAATAATAATAATAATTCCCCTACTGTCCACTAAGAACCGCCCGGTGCTGTTCATTTGTGGCTTCAGGGTCTAGTTGGGCAGAGGACAAAAAAGGCATGGAGACACTGAAATAGCAACTGGAACTTGGAGAAATTGTTTCGAACTGGTGTCACTCATTTCTCAGCTTATTTTAAGCCCAAAGAACTGCCGTAGTGTTTTCTTGGTGGTAAAAATAGACTATCTTTATCTGCCTTAGCTTACAGCACACCTGTTCTTAAAAAAAATAACAAATGACAATAGGCAACTCAAATCTGTGCTTCAAAGAACAGAGCACGCTCTGATGCCTCTCAGAGCCAGCATATTCCCCTCCACCACCTGGTGATACTGAGATGCCTTTGTGGGGACCCAAATTATTATACAGTCCTGGCCCTGGTCAGGAATCTCTTCTGCTTTCACAGGGAAGGGTCTTCTGAATGAGAGTAATCAGATAAAGACTGCTGAGCACGGCTGGGAAGCCTGGGCTCACTGGGAAGCCCAGGCCCACTGCGCACTGTGCTGCAGGCGGGGGCTCGCTGGGAAGCCCAGACCCACTGCACAGTGCGCTGCAGGCTGGGGCTCGCTGGGAAGCCCAGACCCACTGCGCACTGCACTGCAGGCTGGGGCTCTCTGGGAACCCCAGACCCGCTGCGCACTGCGCTGCACGCTGGGCATTCATAGACGTGTACCTGGTCCGGTGGGCCCTCCTGCTGGCCTAGCCTCAGCTGCTACAGCCAGAGAGTACCAGAGACTGACCTGGGTTTACTAACCTTGTGGCTTTTTGGTTTTGTTTCAAATTTGCCAACGGTTGCTTGTGCTTGGTGGAAACAGTGAAGCCGAGTGGGAAAGCACACCCCTGTGGGAATGAGCATACCAAGATCCCTTTTCCGTTTCTCCCTCTTTAGGATCCCGGACACACATGCACTCGCACCTGGCTTGTTTTTCCATTCTCTGGGTCCAGGACTCCAACCGGGAGGTCAGCCATGTGGGATCCAGCCATCTTAACCACCACGCCCCCGACTGGCCCTTCGTGGCTTCTACACTGAAAGGCTTTGGTCTCAACTTCTTCAGGCCTGCAGCGGGATGGCATACCTTCCTTTTCCCACCACTCAAGTGAGTTAGGATAACAGGAAGGCCAGGACTGAGCTCATTTCTGTTCTCGCTGAATACAGATGCCCCTAGTGGAAGTGGCTGGGTCCCATCGCTGCTTGCCAGCTTGAAGGAGGCTGTATCTAAGCCTTTACGCTTTAACCGCAAACTTAGTCTACTGGGCTAAATTCACTGTCAAATTTTTCTCTTAAACTTGGGCTTGGGTTTTTAAGCACCAGAAGGGGGAGGGAGCACCAGGTGATCAAGAATGCAGAGAGGGCGGAAGTGAGTGACTTAGTTGAAAAGATCCTTTGAAGCGCTGAGGGAAAGCTCAGCAGAATGATCGGAAGGGTGCAGCGTGCAGCGTTGGGTGTGGAGTGCGTGGAAGTGGAAGTGGTGCGGAAACGCTGCCGCAGCGTCATTTGTAGACTCTTTCGCTTTTTCTGAGACTGTCCATTGGCATTGGTCCGGGTGTGCTGCCACACAGCTCTGGAAGCCGCGTGTCAGCCTCCCGGCTCTGCTTATATTGCTTTCACTCTTGTCCCAATTCAAATGACACTGTCCTTATCCTCGGCCACATTCGTTAAAAAAAAAAAAGGAATCCAATAGCCTAGATTCTGTTTATTTCCTTTATTAGATATGTTGCCAAGCATTTGAAAGCTATACTAGATGGTGCAACTCTACCGACCATATTTCCTTATCTTAAAATATGGATAAGTGGGACCAGCAGGTGGCATAGTAGTTAAGGCACTGAACACCCCCACGTGGCCGGCCATGGTTCGAGTCCTGGACCTAGTGGCTTACTTTCTCACTTTCCCTCTTCCTCTCTCTCTGTCTCTCTCTGATCAAATGAAAATAAATGAATGAATAAATAATTTTTGAAAAAATGGGTAAGTAATTTGCTATGAAAAGCATATTCGGGGGACCAGCAGTTAGCATAATGGCTATGTCACTGGACTCCCACGTAGTCGACCGCGGTTTGCGTCCCGGACCCAGTGGCTTAAACTCATGCTGGGCGCGTGTGTGTGCGTGCCCAAGATCCCAAGAGGAGAATGGGGGAGAAGGGATTGCGGCGTGACCATCCCCCCGGGGGGCGATTTCTCACTTTCTGTCTCTATGTCTCTCTCTGTCTGTCTGGCGAGCGCACACGCCCTATAGCGAAAACCTCCCCCCCCCAAAAAAAAAAGCATATTCGAAGTTGACAGCTTAGGATCACTGAATAGCCGTACCTGCTGTTCCCGCAGAGGGCAGGGTGTTCTTTATCTGGAGGCTCTGCCAGCAAGCTAGCAGCGCTCCTTGCCGTTTCTCCTTGTTGCGGTTCGGGTTTGGGTTCGTGCTGACTTTTGACGTCTAGATCAGTTTTGTTTCCTGCAGGTGAGTTTTCTCATACCAGTGTGGTTGTGAGTTTGAGGGTACGAGGTGATGTTGTTCCCCGGGTCGGCTCTGCTGCTAGTTTGCCATGCGACTTTGGGTCCCATGGGACAGGGAGCTGGATGCTGGGCATGGCAGTGGACGTGGTACTGCGTGGCTGGCCCACAGGGACAGGGACCAGTTTGTGTCTGGAGACCTCCCTGAGGACACGTGGGCACACAGATGCCCGTGATCAGGGTTGCCCAGACTGGGGATGGATCGCGGTTTGGGGACTTGGTCATTGGTTTGCTCTTTGTCTTACTCGTGGAATAAATAGAACCCCCCCGCCACCTGTAATTATTTTATTGGAAAAACTGAAACACTTCATGAATTTACTTGTCATTCTTGCACAGGGGCCATGCTAATCTTCCTGTATTGTTCCAATTTTAGTTTGTGCTGCCAAAGCCAACGCAGTAAATATACTTTAAAAAAAATTTTTAGGAGAGATTTTTGCTATAGGGTGCACACACTTGTCTGAGAGATGGAGAGACAACAAGAAATCACCCCCCAGGGGAGATGACCATGCCACAATCCCTTCTCCTTCATTCTCCTCTCGGGATTTTGGGCACGCATGCACTCACACCCGGCATGAGTTTTAAACCACTAGGTCCAGGACTCGAACCTCAGTTGACTATGTGGAAGTCCAAGCATGTGACCATTACACCATCTGCTGGCCCCATAATTAATACACTTTTAAAAAAAAATGTAGGGGCTATCAGGTGGTGTAGTGGTTAGGGTGCTAGACTCCTACATGGCTGACCACAGTTTGAGTCTTGGACCTGGCAGCTTGGAAATCACGCCAGGTGTGTGTGCATGTGTGTCCAAAAATCCCAGCAGGAGTAGGGATTGTGGCATGGCCTCTGCTCGGAGAATGGTCTCTGACTTTCCCTCTCACTTTCTCTGTTCTTCGGCAAGCGCACGGATCCAGTGGCTAAAACCTAAAAAAACCCACGTTGATTCTTGCCTTCTAGACAGTCCAGTGGGACAGAGTGGTACATGCGCATAATGTACATAATGACTACACCTGTTCCAGGTCTGAGTGACAGGGAATTTATTAACCTGTGTTTTCTGTTTCCCCCGTGAGTACTAGCGCATTCATTTTTTAGTATGACTTCCGTTTCACGTACATTTGATGTATATTGTGGGGGTACAGCATGGTGGATTTTATTATTATTATGTTATTTGTCAGAAGGTGCATGCACTCACTGGAGAGAGACAGAGAGGGAAAGTGAGAAAGCACCCCACCTTGAGGAATGGTCATGCCACAATCCTTTCTTCAGATCTCCCTCCTTTCAGGATATTGGGCGTGCACGCACACATGCCTGGCGTGGTTTTCAAGCCTCTAGGTCCTGGACTCGAGCTGTGCGGTTGGCCATGTGAATCCAGCTGCCTAAACCCCATGCTGCAGGCTACCCTGGTACGGCTTTTAAAGCATGCTTACAGTGTATAGTAAACCAAGGATATACACGTGTTCAGCTTCATCACTGAACGTTGTGTGTACATCTGACAGTAGTTCTAGATTTTGTGTATTAAGTTGTTAGGTTTCTTACTCTGCTGTGGCACCCTGTTTTGGAGCCTCATTGTCTCATTTACAGGCATTTCATCTGGTTTTAGTTTTTGCTAGAGGGCACATATGCCCACCAGAGAGAGAGAGGAGGGAGAGAAAGTGAAGAATCACCCGTTGGGAGGATGGCCACACCACAGTCTCTCTCCTCCAGTCTTTTCTTGGGATTTTAGGCACAGACCCACGTGTACCCAGAGTGATCCCCAAGCTGCTGGATCTGGGACTTGAACCATGTAGCTGGCCATGTGGGATCCAGTGCCTCAACCTCCACACCATTTGTTGGTCCACATCTATGGTTTTATTAACGCAGTAAATATACTTTAAAAAAAATTTTTAGGAGAGATTTTTGCTATAGGGTGCACACACTTGTCTGAGAGATGGAGAGACAACAAGAAATCACCCCCCAGGGGAGATGACCATGCCACAATCCCTTCTCCTTCATTCTCCTCTCGGGATTTTGGGCACGCATGCACTCACACCCGGCATGAGTTTTAAACCACTAGGTCCAGGACTCGAACCTCAGTTGACTATGTGGAAGTCCAAGCATGTGACCATTACACCATCTGCTGGCCCCATAATTAATACACTTTTAAAAAAAAATGTAGGGGCTATCAGGTGGTGTAGTGGTTAGGGTGCTAGACTCCTACATGGCTGACCACAGTTTGAGTCTTGGACCTGGCAGCTTGGAAATCACGCCAGGTGTGTGTGCATGTGTGTCCAAAAATCCCAGCAGGAGTAGGGATTGTGGCATGGCCTCTGCTCGGAGAATGGTCTCTGACTTTCCCTCTCACTTTCTCTGTTCTTCGGCAAGCGCACGGATCCAGTGGCTAAAACCTAAAAAAACCCACGTTGATTCTTGCCTTCTAGACAGTCCAGTGGGACAGAGTGGTACATGCGCATAATGTACATAATGACTACACCTGTTCCAGGTCTGAGTGACAGGGAATTTATTAACCTGTGTTTTCTGTTTCCCCCGTGAGTACTAGCGCATTCATTTTTTAGTATGACTTCCGTTTCACGTACATTTGATGTATATTGTGGGGGTACAGCATGGTGGATTTTATTATTATTATGTTATTTGTCAGAAGGTGCATGCACTCACTGGAGAGAGACAGAGAGGGAAAGTGAGAAAGCACCCCACCTTGAGGAATGGTCATGCCACAATCCTTTCTTCAGATCTCCCTCCTTTCAGGATATTGGGCGTGCACGCACACATGCCTGGCGTGGTTTTCAAGCCTCTAGGTCCTGGACTCGAGCTGTGCGGTTGGCCATGTGAATCCAGCTGCCTAAACCCCATGCTGCAGGCTACCCTGGTACGGCTTTTAAAGCATGCTTACAGTGTATAGTAAACCAAGGATATACACGTGTTCAGCTTCATCACTGAACGTTGTGTGTACATCTGACAGTAGTTCTAGATTTTGTGTATTAAGTTGTTAGGTTTCTTACTCTGCTGTGGCACCCTGTTTTGGAGCCTCATTGTCTCATTTACAGGCATTTCATCTGGTTTTAGTTTTTGCTAGAGGGCACATATGCCCACCAGAGAGAGAGAGGAGGGAGAGAAAGTGAAGAATCACCCGTTGGGAGGATGGCCACACCACAGTCTCTCTCCTCCAGTCTTTTCTTGGGATTTTAGGCACAGACCCACGTGTACCCAGAGTGATCCCCAAGCTGCTGGATCTGGGACTTGAACCATGTAGCTGGCCATGTGGGATCCAGTGCCTCAACCTCCACACCATTTGTTGGTCCACATCTATGGTTTTATTTATTTATGTTTTTAAAATAATTTTATTTACTCATTTTTACTTATTTTATTTTGATCAGAGAGAGAGAAAGTGAGAAAGCAAGCCACCACCAGGTCCAGGACTTGAACCATGGTTGGCCATATGGGAATGTCCAGCACCTTAACCAGCACACCACCTGCTGGTCCCCTATGGTTTTATTTTTTTAAAGAATTATTTTTTATTTTATTCATCATTATTACTATTTTTAAATTTGCTACAGGGCACGTGCGTGCACTCACCAGAGAGCAAGAGAGAAAGAAGGAAAAGGGAAAAAGCAAGCCTCCAGGTCCAGGACTTGAACCCTGGTGGCCCTGTGGAAGCGCAGAGCCTTAACCGTCATGCCACCTGCCAGCCCCACATCTGTTTTTAAGCAGGGTTTATGATATGGTGCTATCAAGATACGAGCAAGCCTCTCTTGAAACTTACCTCTTCCCACTGCTGATGACAGTGTACGGAGAGATCCCCACCGCAGGGATAGTCCTTGCTGCAGCTAAATTTGAAAAAATGGAAAGGAGCGCTGGCCTATAGCACTCCGGGAAGTTCCGTGCCTGCTGCGCGCTGACTCCGGAACCTGGCTGTGGACAGGCCAGGCCAAGAGAAGGGGCCCTCCCTCCACTCTGTTATTCCTTGGCGGGCATTCTGTTGTCTTTCTTGCCTGGTGAACTTGAAGGCTGTGGAGTGGGCTTAGCCCTGGTGGGGAGCAGAGGCAGATTACAGACCCAGCTTCCTGCTCTGCCACAGTCAGGAGTTGGCCCGTATGCCCCCATTTCTAAAGGCCAGGGGGCCAGAGGCAGCTTTCGGTCACCGTTTCTCCTGAGTGTGACACTGGCGTAAACTGTTGTCACACACTTGGCCACCTGGATAGGATCAAGACTAAGAATCAGGGAACCAGCAGTTGGCATAATGGCTATGTCACTGGACTTCCATGTAGTCGACCGCAGTTCGAATCTTGGACCCGGTGGCTTAAACTCACGCCAGGCGCGTGTGCGTGCGTGCCCAAGATCCCGAGAGGAAAATGGAGGAGAAGGGATTGCAGCGTGGCCATCCCCCCTGGGGGGTGATTTCTCACTTTCTGTCTCCCTGTGTCTCTTTGTCTTCTGGTACACACATGTGCCCAGTAGCAAAAACCTCTCAAAAAAAAAAAAAAAAAGACTAAGAATCAGGTATCTTTGGGCCAGCAGGTGGGGTGGTGGTTACGGTGCTGGAGTTCCACATTTCTGACGGTCGTTCGAGTCCCAGACCTGGCAGCTTGAAAATTATGGTGGTCATGCATGCCTCTGTGCCCAAAATCTGAGGAGGAAAATGGAAAAGGGATTGCAGCGTGGCCATTGCCCTGAGGGCTGATTTCTCACTTTCTTATCACTATCTTTCTGGTGAGTGCATGCATCCTGTGGCAAAAAAAAAAAAAAGAAAAAGAAAAAAAGAAAAAAGAAAAAGAAAAATCAGGTGTTTTTGGAAGGAGATCATGTGGTACAGAGCAGTGGGCTGTGTTACCCTCAGAGAGTGTCCCTCTGAAGGATAAGGTGACAGTGGCTCAGGCTGACTCAGGCCTTTGTCAGTGGCAGCACCATTTCCTCATGGAGGCAGCTCGTGGAGGGGGAGCGTGGGTCTCTGAGCCTCTGCCTCAACTGTGAAGTGGGGCGAGGGGCCCTGCCTTGCACGGTGGGTGACCGCACTGCCCTGGACAGTGTCCTGCTGCTCCTAAGGAGTCACTGGCATTCCAGCTTTGACCTAGTCAGACGCCAGTGTTAGAGGCACGAGTGTGTAGACTATTCCAGGAACTTGGCTTCCTCTGCCCAGACGCTGTTCTCAGGACAGCCTGGTGAAGGGAGCGCCCCCCCAAAGGAAGATGGCTGCCGGGCGGTGTCGCTTCCTCCTCTCTAAGGACCTGCCGCCGAGAGTGCTCCTAGCGACTCCCTAATGAGTGACACGTCTGGCTGAGGACAGGAGACATCTGGTCAGCCACTCAGGAGAATGGCATTTCCAGCTACGAGTACTCAGTAACCCTTCAGGTGCCTGGAGAGCTGGCTGTCACACCCGCCCTGCTCGGCACGGCCCCTCACCC